TATTTAAAGTACCCTTAAATCAATATGAAATTAAACTGTAAAGCGCTCATTCGACAGCCCAATAATATTAGACATGATGTTGGCACAAAATGGGAAAAAAAGAAGAGAAATTTGTGTTTTACCCCATAAGAGTCCAATAGAAAAGCGCTGACTTTTGTAATCTCCCGTATTTTCTAAAAACAGTGAATGTTTAGAATGTTATGTAACAAGAAACCAGAGAACAATAAAACAATCCTAACACACACATTATAATTACTTTCACTTGTTATATTGTTTCGGCCTTTGTGAATTATTTCGTTTTTTAGTCCCCTCAGTGTTAACAACAAACAAACAGTTTTTTAATTTTATCTTATATTCGGAGATTTGATCTTGAAAACCACACCAATGTAGCCAATACATCCAAAACTGTAAGTGGATATTGAAACTGTTTAATACGCCTTGCAACAGAATGTGCAAAATTGCCTTTAACGCCTTGTACTAAAAGCATATTTCAGCACTATTATTGTTATTCTATAAGATATTATGTAACTTTTACTTCTGGAATTTCATTTCAATGCTGAATGGTTACACGTCAATTAGTTTGATATTTCTTTTCACAGTGATTCCTTTTAAACATAGATATTGTTACGTCTCCGTTCGTTAGTTAATTTTCCGTAACTTCGTTCCGACGAAACATTAGCGACACAAGTCCTTTCTTAAATAAAACTGGTTTATTCTTTCTGAATATAAATTTGCGATACACTTAATTTCAACAGTCGCACTACAGCAAACGCTATAACAACGAACGTCTCACGTGCTCAACTTCAACAATACTCTCTGACTGCAGTTCAACTACTCATTACCTCTGTTGTCCCGTCACGTTGTGAACGTCTTATATATATACAAGACTAACACATATCTAGTAAATGCTAGGGCATTCTTGAAGGAACAGGATATTTCTAGAAACAGGTGGCGTGATACTAGTTACGTGGCCTCGCTGACGCAACAATATTTATCTATGTTATAAAACATTTCAGTACAATTCAACTTCTGTTATAATAATAATTAAATTTAAAAAACAGTGAGTGGAGGAAGGTTACATGTACCCTAACTTTACGCATTCCTTGTTTATTCTTATTACTATTACTTATAGAAACAAATAAAATACATATTTCTGACACACTCATGTAAAACGCAGATGTTTAATAGTTTCGGAATTTCAAACTACGTCAGCTGATTGTTACCTTGATTCACAGAATACTGATGTCTTATTCATAACTGTCTTGTTGGCGGTGGTATGTATCTCATCCAATGACAATCCCTGGATAGCCTTGCACATTCACTGAAAACCAGTGTGGTTGAATCACAGTATCGGAATGTGAGGGTGTATGACTCAAGGTCAAGTGGTGGACGTACCCGAATATGTTAGTCTGTCTGAGGAGTATAGTCACTAAAGTTGTCATTGCAGACTTTTTCTCTCAAATTTCCAGCCCAAAGTTACTACATCATACCAGATCGTGATGGGAATTGCCTCTGTCAAGGTGAGTTAGATATCCCTCACACCCAGGACGTGCTTCACAGCTTTTTCTAGAAAGTCCCTCCATGAACTTTTCTACGAATATATCCTCTCAATTTACTGTTGCCTTTGAAGGGTAGGCCTTATCATGCAGTTGGCACATGTATGTGGTCAGAGTATCGGTTCCAGATCACTTATGAGTATTGAACGTCATCTTATGGTTTATTTGATTCTCCATGTGGTCAAATCAGTGAAACAACTCGGAATTGCAATTGTATCCCAGTCCTCCTGTTGCTCCTCATCCAGATGTTTACACACCATTTACAACATTTCTACTCGATGTGAATTCCTATATATTCTCACTTTGTTGATAAAGCCAGAAACCTCTTAATATGATTATTAAGAATATTTAATAGATTATTTGCCTTTCATATGCAAACATTAATTACTGTTACCTTTAATATTAAGGGTATAATATATCATTTTAGGTGCATATTACAAGTGTATACTGTAAAAAATAGTATGTTTACTGTGAAGAATGAATTATTCATATGGTTTATGTTCATAATACTGAACTGCTGTATCTTTAATTTGAAATCCTTGGGCTAATCATTAAGTATCAAGACATAATTCTTTACTGATATGCTAAAACACCGACAAGACAACCTTATGATTAAAATTTACTGCAGTTCCCTACTGTAACACTATTTTATAAACAACAACAAATATCTCAATTAATAATACAAAAAGTTCATTCTTTCTGTGTTATTAAGAGGCAGATTTAGGCAATTAATTTGCATGCAGATCAGAAGGTCCAAAATTGAAACTTGTGATATGCCAGTGAACATGCTCTGCACTTTCAACTCTGGGTACATGACAAAAGTAGCAATCAATTCTGCTATTCAGTTACAAACAGACATGTAAGCAACGAGTGATTGCCTTCTCTCTAGTCAGCAATAGAAAATTGATGATGACTAAATTTTTAACCTTGCATTTAATTATTAATATTTTGGTTATATATATATATGGATACATATATATGTATTTTAACATGCCTTTTATTATTTCTTGCAAGCCCAAGAATAAGAATTTTTGAAAAGGATAGTTTTGAGTATTAAGTTATCCAGTGAGTGTTTTATACTCTAGTATGCTATATTGAAACGATGTTGGAGTCTCACCACATCGTTATTGTACATTTTGCTATGTCCATCCTTCCATATCTGATGACCGTGCATTTTGAAAATAGCCCTGCAATGTATTTTCCATTGTAAATAGTTCTATCATTAGAATGTCATGTCCAAAACACATAACTCCTCCTTGTATGAGGTTGAAGGTTTCCCAGCGACCAGTTCAACATTTGGATCCCACAAAAATTTATAGGTACTATGTCCAGTGACTTAACCAGTATGTCTTCATATGAAATAGCATGAACACTCACTTTATGCTTTAGCTGCTTGATGTATGAAACAGGTAAATGGGATGCGAATTCATTTCCTGTTGGTTTCGTTTTCAAATGAAATCCTTCTTGATTATGTTGCCCGCTATTACCTGGATATGTGAGTAGCTTTTGCCAATGACATTTATGCTTGTGAATTTTCACCTGTTACAAAATGTTAATCTTTGCTTACCAAGTCTGGGGTAAGAATTGTTGCAGCATATTCTGAGTGGTCTTGGTACCCCAAATTGATCCATATTCCTTTGTTTTCCAATTACTTTAATACAATAGATATCCCATATTTTAAACTTTAAACTTCTTCTGAACGATATCTCGGCATAGACTGAAAATCAAGCTTTTACTATACTATGTAGAGATATGGTATTCTGTGTTGTAGTTTCTGCACAGTAGCAATTATGTATATGCTACACTAAAATTTAAATAAGAAAATATGTAATATGCTTTGCACTAATACATCTGAATACAATTCCAAATAATGAAAGTAATTAGTTATGTGCACAAAAATGAGTTCTTTTATGAGAATGAACAGTTTCTAGTTTTGTTTAGTGTAATTTTCTATTGGTTTTGCCTCAGACAGAAGCTAGTAATGAAAGTATTGACATGGAAGTTGAAACATCACTTACAACAATTGAAAACTGCTACTTTTATACTTTAATGACTAGAAAATGGTATATCTATATTTAGATATATATATTTTCTAAATTTTTCGTTCAGTTATTTTACAGTTAGTAACCCCATCTCCTCTTTTAAATAGGACATTATTAGTCATAAACTCGTAATAATCCTCGTATTAAGCTAAAGTTATAGACCACGGGGGTCATTTCAATAGAGATGTATTTGCTTGGTAAGTTCTGTGCCATCTCTCTCCTGAGGAGTGGGCCATTTTCAAATGAGGGGTGATATAGAAGTTTAATAGCAAATTGACAATCAACAATTTATAAGCATAATGAAGTAGTTTTATTTTCGGGAACATACTAAAT